TCTTCCCACTGCACCAATGACCAAATCAAGGTGACAAGACAAGACAGGGGGGGGAGTGCCAAGAAAGGGAGGGAAAGACAAACAAACAACCACAGAGAAGTTCAAAGGAAGGTGGAGAACAAGACCTAAGAAGAAAATCTCACTTGACTTTTTAATTGAACCAGCAGTTTACAAAGAAAGAAAGAAGCCAGGCAAGGTGGCATGTTCTTGTAGTCCCTGCTACTCAGGTGGCTGAGGAAGGATAACCCTCGAGTCTAGGGACTTGAGTCTGATCTGGACAACTCCAAAAAAAAAAAGATTCCCTCCAACTCTTCTTATCTTCTGCTGTTAATATAAGGCTTACTTATTTGGTGTAGGGAAAGGATGAAGACAGTACTCACCCTACAAGACGGGAATAATCATATTCTACTCATTCCTCTCTTTTTCCCTTTCTCTCTCCCTCCCAGGAGTGATGGTGCATTTCCATGAATGCCCAAGAATGACAAATTATTAAATACCAAATCTTCAGAGGGACCTCTCTTCTAATATCTTCCAAGGCCTGACTTTTAAAAAATCCTGATGAAATCATGATTTTTTTTTCCATTTCAATTCCCAGTACTTCTTCTTTACCTCCCCTCCTTCCTCTACTGACTCCCTTCCTCCACTCTACTGGTCTTCATTCTACTTATTTGTTTATTTTTAATCGGTTTATTATAGTTATACATGAAAATGAAATTCGTTGTGATGTATCCAAACATGAACATAGCATAATTTGGTCAACTTCATTCCCCAGTTGTTCCCCTCTCCTTAACACCTTCTTCTCCCTTGGTCCCTGATTCTTCTCTACTGATCTTTTATTTCCACATGATCCCCTTTTTTACTCCTTTTTTCTCTCTAGCTTTCATGTATGAGGGAAATTTGGGCCTTGACTTTCTGAGTCTGGCTTGATTCACTAATCATGATGTTCTCCAGTTCCATACATTTACCAACAACACAATCCACAAAAGCCAAGTTTTGGAAGCAGCCTAGGTACCCATCAACAGAATGGATAAAGAAAATGAGTTATATATACACAATGGTTTTCTATTCAACCATAAAGAAAAATTAAATGTGTCATTTGCTGGATTCTTCTTTATCATCCTGCAAACCATCATTTTAGTACTCGTATTTTTTAATCTGAATTTTAAATGCCCCACCCTATTGCATGTGCCTTATTTTAAAAAGCACTGTTGGGCTGGGGTTGTGGCTCAGTGGTAGAGTTCTTATAGCACATGTGAGGCACTATGTTCAAATCTCAGCACTGTATATAAATAAATGAATAAAATAAAGGTCCATCAACAGCTGAAAAATTTTTTTTTAAAAAAAAGAAAGCTCTGACCTCTATTTTATATGAGGTTTCAGAATGCTATTCTGCTCTGCACCGTATAGAACATCCCTCTATAACACATTGGGATTTCTCAAGGCCAACACAAGATCCGTTCCAAGCTTGAGATTGTGAGGGGACTAGTCAGAGTATGAATGAAGAAACTCAGAGGAAAAGCCCTCATGATAATCTCAAAAGAGAAAGAAGGAAAGGTAAGCATAACAGAAAAAAAAAGAAATGACTGTAAGCAGGCAGAAAAACCATAAATTGCAAATCATTTTCAAAAATAAATGAAAATGACAGCCATAAAGATGAATGAAATTATGTCATTTGCAGGAAAACGGATGGAACTTGAGAGCATTATGTTAAGCAAAATAAGCCAAAATCAGAAGGCCAAAGTTCATTTGTTTTCTTTCTTATGTGGAAGCTGAAAAGGAAAAGAAGGGATGGGTGGCTCTCATGAAAATCAAAGAGGAGATCAGTAGAATAGAGAAAAGAGAATGGGGGAAAAGGAAGGGAAAGGAGAAATACTGAGAAATTATACTGGCTAAATTATATGGTTATATTGTATATGTACAAATATGCAACAACAAATCTCACTATATGTTTAATTTTAACATACCAATATAATTTTTAAAAAGAAAAAGTATTTTAAAATTTTAAATGGAAATGAAATCATCTCAAAAAAGGAAATGTCACAAATTATAGTAAAATGGATATAGAAGAGATTAGAGGGTATCCTACAACATAGAAAACAAGCTTCCTCCCAATTCCCACAACCTCCCAGTTTTGTTGCTTTTCCTGCAGCCTAGCCCCTTGAAGAGTATCCTTAGCTCATGGGTAGGAAAATGTCCCCCCATGCAGCTTCCCACAGGGAAGGCTCCATTCTCTGTCCTGGCACTTAGCACACCCTATTGTAATTAGCTGCCTCATGCCACACATTTAATTCCTGGGGGTCCTAGGCCACACCTTATTAATATGCGTGGCTCCACAACCCAGGGTAGTATCTGCTATTTGCAGATGCTCAATCAGTACTAAGAGAATGCACAAATAAATGAATGGAAACCATTATACCACAAAGGATTACCAAAATAGCAGAGCAATTGAACCTAAAGATAGAGAAGTCTCAATAGTAAATACCTGGCACCTGCTGCAGGGTATAACAAGAAGCCAAAGAAACTTCTCCTCACAGAAACAAATGAGAAAGACTCTGGCTCTAATTCTCGGCAGATCCTCGTCCCAGTCCTGGGCTGACCTCATCCCGTTGTTATGAGCCTGGAAGCTGACTGCTTTGCAAAATCAGAAGTGAGGCCTTTCTCCATGAACTTTCTCTGAATCTTTACTCCTCAAATTGTCAAAATGCTTGTTGAATGATCAGTGTACTCTCCCTTCCAGACAGTTAAGGATCCTGGAAGGAACCACATCTGCCTTAGTCTAGAAAGAGCAGCTGTATGCTCATGTTCTCATCCAATACTGTACCTATCCCTGGGGAATTCAAGAATGAGAAGTTGCTAAGACTCTGAGAATGCAGCAGGCCCTAAAGTCTGTGCTGGAGAGGAGGTGGGGAAAGATGTTTACCCAAAGCATAACACACATACCTTGATAATGGACCTGCCAACACAGTCTCCCTGCTCTCTGGCTTTGCCCTCTAGACGCCTAAGGGGAAAACAGCTTCCAAAAGTCACATGTTGCACATCACTGCTTCTGACCCAAGTGGTCATGCATCTTGTACCCATTATGCACAGACAACATAGCCCCCTGGGGGTCTGGCACACCACTGGAAAACAGAAGCTGTCATGCTGTTTGATAGCTTCTTCTTCAAAAGGCTCGATTCTTCTGATGGCATGGCCCAGATTCCCAGCAGGACTTCTCTTCCTGGGGCTGGTTCCAAAAGTCAGCTTTAATCACTAAGAGGAGATTGAGGTCTATTAATTTAGAGGCTGTGAGTGACCTCCACAGTGGCATCCTGGATAGTGGATGGGGCAACAGATGCTTTCCCCATTAAGATAGCCTGTTCTTGGCCTTTGCTTTATTTCCTCCCAAAAATCTGACTGCAGAACTGGTCTGTGTGCAGAAGCCAAAGCCATCTCCTTTGCAGTTTCCCCATGACTCAGGCAGTACTTGCAGGGGCTGGGCAGTGGCAGCTCAACAGACCTCAGTTGGAAGAATGAGCACAAGGAAACAAGACTCCAGGCCAAAGACCTCCCTAGAGAAACCAGGTGGTGGGAGGAGAAGAAGGCTGGGAAAGTAGGAAGTTCATCTCCAGGAAGGGCCTAGCTCTGCCAAATGGGTTACTGTGGAAGACTCCAGCTCCAGCCCGTGGGCGCCAGACCAGCTTTGAGTGGCCATTTGGAAACAGTAAAGAGCAAGAGCCCCAGAGGTAACCAAGGATTCTGTGCCATCGCCAGAATGCTGTGGTTATGACAATGACAAAACAAGAGCGAGGCACAGATTCAAGTTACAGCCCCCAAAATCAGAAGATGCAGGTCATTTGGTTGGCCCTTTTCCTCCCAGCCTCCTGTATTTAAGAAATTTCAATAATCCCAAAACTTTACAGTGCCCAAGCATGTCAACGCCTATGAATCTAAATGTTCACAGATTCATAGCTTCTTTGAGATAGAATATCAGGTAAAGACCTGAAAAAGGCAGAGCTGCTTTCCTGGTCTGGGTCCATATTTCTAATCCCAATACTCAGTATCTTTCCAACCCTACAGCTGGAGTCCCTTGACTAAGCTCATATCACTTCCACTGCAAAAAGGCAGAAGCTGTTAGAGTCCTGCACTCAAGTGCAGTCCTAGGAATTTTAGTGAGTTCTGAAGCTGAGTACCTGAGCGATCCTTTCTGCTCTGCTCCACAGCATCCAGCTGGGCAAATGGGTCACCCTCTGCTAATAAGCCGTTTTCCCAGCTCAGCTCCAAGTGAAACTCCAAGTGAAACACTCCCAGCCTCAAACAAGTGCCCTACTAAAATGCCTGCTCAGAATGAACTGCAAGCCCTCAACAAGGTCCAGCAGAGAAGGATATGGAAGAAGCAGCAATGAAGAAGGGATGCTCCTGGCACTACCTACTTGAGTCAGACCTTTTTCTGCAACCCATAAAATAAGCCAGTGATGCCCTTCGTCCCAATCCAGGTTTTCCTGGCCCAGGACAGAGACAGGATAACATGTTACCCGCGAGAAATGTAGCAGACGCTGACCTTGGATCATCTTCCAGTTCTACAGCCAGGGAAAGGAACCCTCTGAGGTGGTGTCGGAGAGAACTTAGATGCCCTATACAAGACTGGTGGGCTTTCCCGCCCTCTCCAGTGCCATCCTCAAAGCGCCTCCTATCGGCTTTGAAAACAAACTGCGGCTCCGGGGCGGCAACTTCCTGGGTTCCAGCCCCTCAGCGATTGATCCGGGAGACGCTGATTGGCCGCGTCAGGCCAACACCTTCGGAAAAAGCAGGCTTTCCTCCAACCGCCCTGAAGCACGAGAGGAGGACCTCTGCAGAGCCTAGGAGAGGGCTCTTCCTGGAAGTTTCAAAGTTGGAGTCGGAAGAGATAAACGGAATTCAAATTTGGGGGTACTGCACAGCACAAAGGGGATTTGGAGAGCTAAAGGCGGTAACCCTAAGAGAATAGGGCTAACTGGTTCCAAAGAGGTGACAGATTGACTCACCTGCCTGGTGAAGAGGATGGCGGTATCCCAGTACTCGGGGTGCTTGTCGCTTACTTTGTTCAGCTTCTTCTGCCAGGCGCAGAAGTTGCGCAGAGTCAGGGCTGCATTGCCGGTGACCTTGGGCCCGGTGTCACGGTCTCCAAGAAGCAGCACCTTGACTACAACGATGTTGATGGGGTTCAGAATGCTGGGATGGCGGTAGAGTCGCGCCGCGGTGGCCAGCAGCGTCATCAGATAATGCTCCAAGTCCGCGCCGTGGAACTTGACCATTGACTCGTCCGCCACAACCAGCGTCTCCACGTAGCGTGGGATAGACACGAAGCGCTTGGCGCGCCCGGACCTGCGCGGGCTGTGACTCTCCCCCAAGCCTGTCCACCGCGGCTTGTAAGGGTCCAAGGCCCGAAGGATGGCGGGGTTCCAGCCCGATGCCACCCCACAGCGAGAGGTGGGGTCTCCGGAAAGCCCGCCGGGGGCACTCCGACGCTGGAGAAGGTGTGCGCCCTGGCTGTTGCGCTGCGCCGCCGGCGCGCTGGCATTGGGCAGCGGGCTAATGACATACTCGGCCCCTCGGTAGCCGAAGGCTCCACGTAGCCCCCCGCACAGGCTAACAGCGGCAAACGAATCTGGTTCGGCGTTCACATTCCCGGAGTAGAAGCAGCGTCGCAGGTCTAGAGAGCTGCCGGTGAGCCCCTGGAGGGGGACGCCCAGATACTCAGTGGCGAACGAGGGAGCCAGAAACTGAGCATCCGGCGTCAGGTGTAGATAAAAGTCCTCCTGAAATGCTGTGATCTGAAAAATCAGTCCCTGCTCCCCGGAGTCCTCGGGGCCCGGCCGGTAGTAGTGGCGGCCGTTGATGTCCGGGTCCAGTCGGATGGGAACGACCACCTCCCGTTCTGGCTCGGAGCTGCCAGCAGGTCGCCCGGCGAAAACCAAGGTTAAGATGCCCAGCAAAAGCATGGCGCCTAGCAGCACACAGACGTACTCTAGAAAGGGGCTCGGCCCGACTTCCCCGCAGCCTGCACGGTCTCTTTGCAGCCTACACACCAAAACCACCAACGCTTCGGGACAGCCAGCAGCTCCCTGAAAGGAGAGCCAACCAAGGCAGGGAGACTCCTCCCAGAACAGCTAGGGTGCACCCGGCAGCCTGCGCCTCCTACCTGTGCCTTCCAGCAAAGAGCGCCCTGGGAGCTTAAGTACAATCGCTGTCAAGTGCAAGGACGAAAATTTGCAGCGGAGAACTGGCGGGAGGTGTCGGGCTGCTTCTCGCAACAGCAGCCACTCGCAGCGCAGCGAACCAGGCTTTGGGCGAGCCTATTAAAGGCCCCCTCCTCTCTGGACTGCCCAGTCAGCGCCCCTCCCCTCTCAACCCTCCCAGCCTCCCAGAGCTCGCAGCCCCGGGCCTCCAGGGGCCACCGAAGAACTCGGTCCCGCCTCCAGAGCCGAGAGCCATTTGGCGGGGAGGGAGTGGCGTTTAGCTGAGGCGGAGGCGTGGGCTGGCCAGGGAAACCAGTGCTGGTGTCTCGATTCGCATTTTGCCCTAGGTTATACCCCGTGCCAGTAACATCAGTTACTTCTGTCGCTGGTGGACATCTGTGCATCCTCCAATTTTAGCCTTTATAAACCTCAAGGCAGCTGGGTTTAGGAATTAAGAATGAAGACACCACTGACCTCTCTCCCAGACCCACCTCATTCCTTCTGTTTGCAAAGTCCCTGCTGTTTCTTAATTACAGAGTACCCTGAAAGACCCAGAATCCCCTTACCCGCTACACACACCCCTATAAATATCCTATTGTCAGAAGAGCAACTTCCAAGAAACAAGGAGAGCCCCTGTGGAACCCAGAGCTTCCCAGGCCCAAGGTCTGCCCTGGGGGCAGTGGTGTGCTGAATAGCTAGTACAGACCACTAAATGTTCAGGCATTTTTCTAGTCAGCTGTTAAACATGGTCATTATTAATAAAATACATAAACTTGCAATTAAATAATTTATATTTTAAAGCAAAATTGATAAATACCCCAAACCCATCACTTCCTAGTCATTTGATTATTGTCTATGGTCTTGAGCCACCCTTCCCCTAAGATTTCACAGCTCCCAGAAAAGATAACAGAGGGAGGTGGAAATAAATGGAGACACTAAATGGCCAGCTATTCTGCATCTCCCCATTCAGGAACATCACACTTGAAATTCATACTGTTGTGTAGCAAATGCTTCCAATCAAAATTGAAGAGGAGAGATTGAGGTCTTGGTAAACATTAATTAGCACCCCTGTTTGCAGAGAGGATATAGAGAGCAGTTGCTGGGGCTGCAGGGACAAGAGAAAGGGTGTCTTCCTGCCAGGGAAGGGCTCAGGGTTTGATGGACAGTAGAAAAACCAGGCAGTTCATCCTCCATAAGATTGTCCCATTTGATCCTTGACCAAGTGATAGGGCACCGGAGTGGGAAGTCAAGTATGTAACAGGTTGAGAATACACAACAGTGCCATAAATTCCCATCTAGTTTGTAGAAGACCATTAATGGCTCAAGAGCCCAAGTTTCTCCTTACCTCTCTCGTAGAATTCACTTAATTCTCTGACAAGAAAGGAAAGGAGAGGAAGGAGACTTTTCTAGTCTCTACTGATGCCTAGAAAATCTTTCAAGAACCTAATGGGGGAAACAGAAGAGGGGATGTGCAATGATTTTAAGCAAAAGAGGGGCAGATTGGAAGAATTTGGGAGTTGTTGTTTTTTTAAAGAAGTGTCTGCTCAAGTAGACCACTCTAGTGCTGAAGAAAAGAGAAAGCTGGGTCTAGTCCATTAATGAAGTGTACTTTCTGTCCATTATCTTCTCCCCATAAGGATTCACTCTTGGAAGAACCCCTTGGGCCTTGGAACAGGAAGACAGTACAGATGTACTGAACTCTACTAGGGCCCCTCCTTAATTGAGGCAGGAAGAATTGAAATTCATGATATGAATGAGTAAGAGTTGGGTGTTTATACTTTGTAAATGAAAAGGAGAGTACACATATGGGAGGATTGTGTGTGAGAGAGAGGGAGTTCTAGTTTATAAAGGCCCTGTATGTTTGAGTATTCAAAGAAGGACTGTAATTAAAGAACAACTCAAACAACCAAGAGCAATCATAAGTCACTTACTAAGGGCAAGCAATTGTTTCCTACACCCAGCAGTTTTAATGGCAGGTTACAAATTTTCCAAACACATTTTACTTTCACTCTGATGAATGGATTCAGGGAAGGCCTCCAGGGTGTCAATCAAGATCACAGGTCCAGGAAAAGGAAGCCCCATCTCCATCCAAGTACTTTGGTCTCACTGCCCCTGTCACAGCCCAACTGATCTCATCCCTGAACACAAAGACTGACCATCTGGACTTACTCAAAGGCTGTAGCATGTATTGCACACTTACTGTATGCTAAACATTGCACCAAGAGTTTTGTGCTCATTGTCTTATTTCACACTTGTCTTTCCCCTTGGGAACCTGTAGTTCCATCCAATTACTTTTACCAGAGATTCCTAGCCAGGAATTAGGATGGAAAGATATGCTGCTATAACGTACAGAAAGCCCTCAAGTCAAAGAATTCACGATCCACACTCCCATTTCCAGTTACTGCTCTGATTCTTGGACTCTGGATATCCTTATCAAAAGAGAAAGGATCACAGCTTGGAAGGCTGAAACAGGAGAATCGTGAGTTCAAAGCCAACCTCAGCAATGGTGAGGTACTAAGCAACTCAGTGAGACCCTGTCTCTAAATAAAATACAAAATAGGGCTGGGGATGTGGCTCAATGGTCAAGTGGCCCTGCTGAGTTCAATCCCCAATACCCACCCACCCACCCCCCAAAAAAAGAGAAGGGATCATCCTAGGTTGGAGGTCTTTAGTCAGAGAACAGTATCTGAATCCTCTGCCTCAATAACACCTAAGACCATTCCAGATCAGGAAGATGGCATGCTTTATTTAGCCCCTAGAATTTATCTTTATCTAAAACCATTTTTTGCTTGGATTTTTACTTTTTCATTGACTGATGCCTTCCCCAGTCCCTGCTAGAATGAGAGGGGGATTCTGTCTCAGTTATTCCTCTATTATACAGGGCCTGACCCAGTGCTGGGCACACAAGGGACTCCTATGAATATTGAATGAATAAATCAACCCACTTCTGTTTCGAAGCTTGGTCACTCACAGTTTGTAAAACCTTGGGCAAAATATTTCATCTCTAAAATGAATAAGGCTATCTCATGGAATTGAGGGCCTAACACACTACTCCCATAACAATTTATTACCTACACCTCTCTGACAGAAACCTTAGCCTAGCACCTACACCCGAAGCCCAGAAACCTCATTTCAGAACTGAGGCATCTGAGGTCCAGAGAGATAAAATGACTTGTCTAAGGCAATCCAATCAGCTCTTTACTCATTTCATGAACTCTTTTCTCTTTGTTCTTTGCCTGAACACCTGGTCCTAACTAAGTTAACTTATCTTGGTGGCTTCATGCTGCTATTTCTAGATGCATATCTCTATGTAAGACATTTCTCTTGCATAGGAGGCCCACTCAACCTTGTCTATATCTGTCTGTAGATGACACTTGATTGAACTCATACAGTTCTGGTTGTTCCTTCTTTTCCTAATTCCTTTTGGCTTGTATGTATTCCATTTCCAGTATGGGCATGTTCACTTTAAACTTGCTTGCCCTTTGCTAATAATTTAACATTGAACCCTTTCCCTTAAGCTCAGCTACAGCCACTCTGGCCAGGAAACTCATCAAAAGTAGGTCTCCATCCCCTTTTATGTTGGTTTTCATGACTGTTCTCAAAACAGGTATTGAGTACTCAGCTGATCTTGTTAGGTTCAAGAGGTTCCAGGCAGAAGATCAACCCCCAAAGGCCACTGAGGCCAGAGGGAGGGAGATTTTACTTCTTTCAGATCCTGATGATTCACCATTATTGAAGCCAAATGCCCTCTGCCAATCTGTAACATCAGCATTCAGGAGGATCTCCCAAATGAAAGAAAAAAATCAAGGAGAAAGAAGTAGGGGTTACAGGGGCAGGCATTATAATCTAGGCAAGATTGTAATGGAAAGGAAAGTGGTTGGAAGAAGTCTCCCAACTCCTCACATCAGATATTAAAAATCATTGACTTACCATGTTGGGATTTAAATCAGGTTTTATACAGCAACATGAAAACAGGTTTATGAATTTATCAATTTATCAATTTTTTGCTTTATGTTTTCTTTATCATTATATGTGAAAGATCCTGAAAAGTCCCAGATATGTTTCATCCACTCTTTATGGAACCGATACTACAAAGATGGTCAAAGCAGACAACACCTAGCAGGCACAGGCCTTGGGGAGCCTCTTGGAATGCTTAGCAAATGTTAACCTACAGAGCCGCCATCATCCACTGGCAACCACAACTGCTAGAGCCCTTGGCCAATCTTTTTCTAGATGTGGAGACAGCTGAAGCATCTGGAGATTCATCTAAGCACCCATGAATTATAGTCCTGGGCCCGAGTCCATTATTCATTTCTCAGAGAAAATATTTAACTCTGTTTTTTCCCCTTCAGCCTCCCACTCTGTTTTTCCCCCACTCTGGGGCTAGAATTCAGGTAGAAGTCCCTCTGATATTTAACTTCTGTGCTTATTCCCTTGAACACTAGAGGGTCAGAATAAAGGGTCCTTATTTGACTTTGGCAAACTCAATAAATAATTCCAAGCTATCTCCTCCTTCCACCCTGAATCCCCCTTATACAGTTTTAAATAATAGCCCCTACTCTCATATCTCAGATTCCCCAATTCAGTCATTTATTTTATAACTTTTCACAAACACACCCTTCAGGGCTCTTGGCCATTCAGTATATAGATGCACCTTTGATCTTAGTGCTAGTTGAGAGTGAAATGCCTAGAACTGAGACAACATTAATGCTAAATCCTCCACTCCTATCTAAGGATTTAGAAAACCACTAGTTTTTTTCTGCCAAACAAACTTCTATATCCTCTACTCATCTCAAATGCCCCTTTCCCCTTCCTCATCAGCATCCTAATAATACTTTCAAGATCAAACTTGACCTTGAGCCTCAGGCTCCACTCCAGACAATGATAAAGGATCACTTCTAGATTCCTCCACATTAGATGAGGCTCCAAGACAGAATTCATCATTCCCCCTAATTATCATTCCCCCTAAATATCCATTCTTCTTCTTAATAAGCACTTGACACATACATATTATATGATTTATTAATGAGATAATTTATCCTCTCACTTTGTCCTCACAAATACACTTGGGGAGAGGAATAGTGGGACAGGAACTCACATCTCCACTTTGACCAAGAAAACCTAAGGTCCAGGCT